AGCTGAGCAATCCAATGAGATTTTGCACTAAATCCTTAGTTTGATCACTCTACAGGGTTGGCTCAGTCACTCATATTGAGACAAAAGAAGCAATACTCATTTAGAAATAAACAATGTGCTTTAGAGATATTTTCTTGAAAACATTTTATAGTCCACAAGAAGCTGGATTCAGCTGCCTGTAAACACGCTGTATTTGTGGATGACAAATCCACTAGAATAAGAGGAAAAATATCTTCACCAAGAAGTAGGAGATCACTGTTGATGGCCTGTTGAAAGAGGGTGAAAGAGTAAAAGCAGTACATCAATTCCCTTAATTCAACTTACTGTCTTGAAGCAGTGTTTTCTGTCTAGCCTCTGAGCCCAGTGACACTGCAGCTTAGTGAGACCTTTCAGGTACTGCATCTAGGTTGCTTTGCATAGCAAGAAGTTAATTTTTACTTAAAATGAAGAGGATGCACATTAGGAAAAGTTTTAACTGCAAATTTTGACTGCTGTTTACTTTTCCAGTATTTTTTAAAATTAGATAATTTCATAGCCATATTCTAGTTCATTGGCAGATTTTGAAAGATCTTAATACTTCAGTGATATAGTCCACTACTTCTGTGGCACAAGCCAATGGCAGATATACGTTGGAAGAGCAGAGGAATCACAGAGCCAGCAATGCTTTACCTTCTACAATTATTAAGCAGTTTGATGGAACAGCATTGCAGAATCAGTTGAATCTAGACCAGTAATTCATGAGGCTGTTGCAGCAGTGTCTCATGACATGGTACTTTTGGCTTTACTATTTATTCACATACTGCATATTTTGGCATGTATATTTTCTATGCTAATATTGACTCATATCATTAAAACCCATTTTGCATTGAATTTGATGTTGAACTCTTAGACCACTGTCACGGCAGAATGAGTTCACACACATTATAATTCTCCTGTAGGGTGCCATCTGAATAACTTATCTTAAAATACAGGAGGAGATACTGTAAAGAAATGCCAGGAGAATGTAGACAGCATAATGCCAGAAAGAAACACCTAACTGGACAGTGTAAGTAGTGAAGTCTGATGATACAATTTTTAAAGAAAAATGACAACTATTGACTAAGAGGAAGGGAAGATTAATATAAGTACACTTAAAAAAATAATCAATGAAAAATTAATTGTTTCTGACTGTTGACAGGTATTGAGGAAGTCAATGATCTTGGCTTATTGCAGAGGCACCAGTGAAGCAGCTCCTGAGGCAGCATATTTCATGACTGACAGAAACAAGTATTTCTGGAAAAGAAAATTTGATCATTTTAACTTCACATATATCCAATCCTTGTGAGGAAACCACCACATTAATACAAGCATTGTGACTTTAACATGGCCAAATGCCAAGCTGGAAATATGATTCAAGAGATTAGACTTTCTGAAGCCAATTACCGACCATCTCCTTGCTAATCATGTCCATGAATGAGAAGTTAGCACATTATATGGTCTAACATTATTTGGCAGGAAGTGTGGGCAGACAGTAAGTCTGTTCTGTCCTTCAGGATGATATACTGTAAGTAGGAAAATAGATAAATGAGGAACTAAAGGACTAAAGAGGTCAGAAATTCTTTCTTAGCTTTTGGAGAAAAGATGCTGGTAACAAACTGTAGTGATTTCAAGTCCATTAAGACTTCCATTTTGACTCATTTATATCAAGATAGGTACTAGATATTTTTCTTCCAATATGGTTATGTTCAGCGCACATTTGTATCCATACTTTACTTCTCTTGTGGTATACCTGAAGGAAGCTGCACTTTGCCATATGTATAGGACTAATAAGATTATAAATAATACAATCACAGTGATTCTTCAGGCGGCAACACAGCTGTTACAAAATGTACTGATTACAAAACACTATCCACTTTGAACACTGAGTGGTGCTATGACATTAACTATTCCAAATCACCGTCTTCTCCCTTGGAAACAGGTTGTACCATCTGATAAACCCCTTCACTTTTCACTTGTTAATTACAATTATAATTATGATCCTATTACTTGTATTAAATAGTAATAATGGCTTTACTATTATAGGGTGTGACTAAGACTTTGCATGAGAACAGGGACCAAATAAGTAAATGAGCTACAGTCTGTACTCACTGTCTGTGCAATTTAGCACTGAGTAATCACAGTCTTGTAATGAATCCAGTTCCCACTGCAGTAGATGATGTTATACGAACAGATAAAATTGCCACAGCTGTATGGGGACAATTTTGAATGACCTATTTCAATTTAATGTAACAAATATTAACTTAGCATTCTGTGTCATACGGAAATCTATTGGTTCTATAATGCAGTCATTTTAAAACCACTGCCATTTTTAGCTAACTACATAATCATTATTATCTGGAATATCACAGGACTGTCTTTTCCCCAAGACAAACATGACTATTCCAGTAACACTGGATACTGAAATATTTTAGATTTCAATATGTACAAGGCATTCAGGAAGCAAATGTACATCAGCACTAAAATCTCAAAACAATAAGGAAAAGAAAAAAAAAAAGAAATGTAAAAGGGCATAGTAAAAAGGGGGAAAACCCCCTGATTTATTTGGAGAGAGGAGAGAAAAAGAAAAGTCTCCTGCATGTGATCTGTTCCAGTTTAATACTCAGCTTTAACTGCCTGCAGAAATCTAAAGGTTTCATTTGTAGTCACCAAAGTCAGATAACAGTCTCCTATGCTAATTTACAGCTTCTTAGAATATCACAGGATTGTTAGGGTTGGAAGGGACCTCTGGAGATTATCTAGTCCAATCCCCAGCCAAGGCAGGGCCACCTAGGGCAGGTTACACAGCAACACATCCAGAAATTCTCCCTTGTGTTGAGGTGAAACTCCTTGTGTTTTAGTTTATGGCCACTGCTCCTTGTCTTGTCACTGAGCACCACCGGAAAGAGTCTGGCACCATCCTCCTGGAAACTGCTCTTGGGATGTACGCATTAGTGACAACCCTTCTCAGTCTCCTCTTTTCTAAACAGGCCCAGCTCCTGCAATCTCTCCTCATAAGAGAGATGCTCCAGACCCCTGATTGTCTTTGTTTGGAGCAACCAGACTGAAACTATCAAACACTGTTACTGTACTGCAGGGAATACATGCCCATTTGTTCTTTTAGTTTATTTAAAATGAAGAGAAAACTAGACACAGTCAAGAATCTGGTTTCTGGCAGTTGGACAGGGCAATATGGAAATTGCTCCATGCAGGCTCCATGTGGCTGGGGGCCGGTTCCAAAGCTCACACAACTTGGCAAAACGACCAAGTGTGCTACAGAAACACATGACCCATTACCTGTGCTAAAAAGGTAGAAGTGAAAAGAAACACACCCTCCTGGCACCTCTTCCTCCCTGCTGTGGTGTGCTGATGCTGCATGAGGAAAAGTGGCAGATTTGGGGCAAGCAAATGGGAGCACAGGAGACAGATCACATAGGAACATGTTCAAATCTATGCTGAATTTTGTCAGTGTATTTTTCATAATTCTAAAGAAGGTGAAGATTTATTTAGAAAGATGAAGAAAACAATTGCTATTACTTCAATTATTATTCTGTTGTGACAGGTATATGCTGAGTTTTTGTACACGACATCATATCCTATGTTGCCCATCCCTGCTCTGAGGCAGCAGGGAATTCAAAGTATTTCTGGTGAGTTTTCATGGTCTTATGCTATGGAAGTCAAAAACTACAGATGTGATTAATTTATACAGCCTTCTAGATCCACTGAGGTGCTAAGAACATCAGAATGGGGAATCAGTGCAGACAATGCACCCATGCCACAGCAGAAGGCATTCAGGATTATGAAGCACACTGGTGGCAAAAGTGCTGGGGAGCCTAGACTGGCTAGCATTTTAACCTGGGGGCTAAACATTTAAGTTATGGTTAGTTGTGATTTTGGTTGTGGCTAGCTATCCGTAACGGTTTTAGATACACACAGTAAGAAATGAGGTACTACAGCTCTAATGCTTGCTGGTCTTCGGGTGTCTATTTTCTCCTAAACTCTGTACAGAATTATCATGTTGCCCACACCCAAAAGCATGGAGCACAATTTATTGTCCATGTAGGACACAACCACACTGAGGCACTTCCTTTAGTAAAATAACATAAAACACCTCCTCTCGCACTGAGCTGCAGACTTATTCACTGCTTGCTTTCCAAGGGACCTTCAAAAGGTATTACAGTCAGCCATCAGTAAGCAAAATGGGCCTAAACATTTTTAAAAGCTCGTTACACAAATGCATAATGTCACTGCCTTGGATCATAGCCCAAGGGCACCGAGGAATGACTTCCATTCGGAAACCCATTTAGCACTAAACGTCAATGAAGAACTGCAGAAGGGAACGGCTGTCAAGAGCCACTTTGGCTCTATGCTCACAAGAAACGACACACGGACGCGAAGTGAAGCGTCCGGCGCCCGCAGACCGCTGCGGAACGCCGCATCCGAAGGAGCGTGAGCCGGGGCCTCCGCCGCAAGGGCTGCACTCCCCGGACCCGGGTGTACCCCAGTCCCCTGGACCCGCCGCCTGCTCTACTCGGGGCCGCCGTCTCCAGCCGCCCCTGTCCCGCAGGGCCCATGGTGGCCCGCTCCGCCTGCCGTGGGGCTCCCAGGAGCAGCCGCCGCGGCGGTCACGGGCAGGCGGCAGCGGGTTGGCTGCCCGGAGGAAACGCGCTGTCCAGCCCAAGAGGCTCTACGTGGCCACCTCCCGGCAGCGGCATCCCACAAAGCTGCCTCAGGGCCCCGCTCGCTCCCGCTGCTTCCCTCCGCACTCACTGGCGGGCCTGCCTCGCCCCAGGGCACCGCCACCCTCCTCTCCGGGCCGCCGGCCCCCCCCTCCCCTCCCCCCGCTGCGGTGGGCTGTGCCACGGCTCGGCCGCGCCCCACAGCCCCGCCCGGCCCACGGTGTCCGCGGGGGGGCGCTGCGGTGGCGGCGGGCGCGGCCGCTTCCCTGGCGGGGCAGGGCAGGGCACGGCACGGCACGGCACGGCACGGAAGGGCGAGGCGCTCGCAGGCGGTGGGGAGTCGAGTGGAGGCGACGTCCGCCCCTGGGCGCGGAGAGAGCAGCTACCTGTGGCATGGGAGAAGTGAGTATTGTCTTTTCTCCGTCTTGTTCGCGGGGTTGTGCCCCAGCTTGCTCTCAGCTGCCGCTCGCGGGTCCCCCGACCCCTCCTAGCCTGGGAGGGCGGCTGGAGCACTGAGTAAAAGTAGGTGATGTGTTCGATTGAATCCCTTTTTTTCTATTGCTTTTCTCATCCCCATCGCCGCATCGTTGTGTGGCACCTGTTTGGTTTGGTTTGTTTGCTTGGGTTGGTTGGTTGCTTGTTTTAAAAGTGGCATTAGATGCTGGGTAGCTGCTTTGCCGGCAAGCCCCAGGTTCTCCTGGTATCCAGCTTGTTCAGTTCCCCCCATACACCCACCCAGGAAAAAATAATCTCTCTCCAAGCTGCGTCCGAGGTCCCACTTGGTATCTCTGAGGCAACAAAGCAAACGAGTTCTTAATTTGCTGTGAAAGAGAGTCTGCAGCTGCGGAGGTGGAGCAGGTTGAGATCTAGATGGGAGATTTTCCTCTGTGCCGTCGGGTCTCCGTGGTTGCAAAGCAGGGGTGACCACATCTGTAGGAAAGATGGAAGAAGCTCACAGAGGAGAGCGCAACAGGAAGAACAGTGTGTGCTCATCTCGGGCAACCTGAATTCCCGGGTTTCTGTGTAGAAAATAAAAGCATGACACATTAATCGTTCTTAGGTGCTTGGTTACAGTAACTCTAAGCTTCTCACATCCCATCTTGTACTCTGGGTAGAGCAGTTATTTGTTTTATCCAGGTTGTTTTGTTGTGACTTTTATACAAAGAATAGTAATTTAGAAAAACACACTTTGTGCTTTCCACGTCAATGGTACTGCTTCAACCTCATAAAAACCTTGGTAGGAAAACGAATTATGGGAGCAATCCTTCATACAAAATTACGTGGTTGTTTTATGAAAAGTGGGAAGGTTTCAGAAAACTTAATTTCATTACACTTTTCCCCTACTTGTGTAAAGTCTGATTTTGCTGTTTCACTTGAGGACTCCAATCTATGTAATGTTTCTTTGTTACCCAAACATCTCTTTGTTTCTGGAGTATATTAGTTTGAGTGGGGTGCAAAAAAGCAAAATTAAGTAGTGGAAGGTAAAATTTGGTATCTTTTTTTTTTTTCCCAGCTGAACTTGTTTTAGAGCAAATCTGTGTGTGGGAGTTAGCAACAACAACAAAACCAAAACAAAACCCACCCCATGATAAAATTCCTTGGTATTTTGTAGGATGAATTACTGTAATGACATATCTACCATTTAATGCACAGTACCACACAAGTATTGAGATGTGAATTTTCATATGGGGTGAAAGCAGTTCTGACGCTGTCATTTGCCTGTCACTACTGTGTGTGTGTGGGGAAATGTCTTCTAGCTTCTCAGTGGACTGAAAATCTACTTTTTATTAGAATCTGATTGGTTCCTGTGGTGTTGTTGTTTGCCAAATGGAACTGTTGCAGGCAATTAGGAAGAACCCAATCTGTGTGTTGGCTCTCTGATCTCTGCAAGAAACACAGCGGCTCCTTGGCCAGTCCTGATGGAAAAGGGTGTGTCAGGATGGGAAGCAGAGCTCTGCTGTGTGCCTCACACACTGAGGGGCAGGGCGGTCGGAGGGCTGCGCAGGCTGCTGCAAGATTGCCAAGGGCTAGGTTGGCTATCGGCCAGTCCAAGGGGTTTAATGTCATCTTCACCCACACTCCAACCCCATCACCTGTCATGGTTAAGGATTCAAGAGGACATTTTCATCTAGGACCTTGTTTTTTATTTATTTCTTGCACACACACACACACATACATATTAAATACTGTGTTTTTTAAGTGGTCTTCTAAAAATTTATTTACCTGAAGTTTTTACCAAGACAGATTTGATGGAAATATAAGATGTGGATAAATCTTAGGCGTTCACTGATACTTTTATATTATTTGTAAGAGACACAAAAGCAAACATTGCCCCTTTCATGTTTAAAAAAAATATCCAGTGTTTGCAGCTGAAACTCAACAGAGAAATGGAAAGGAGTGAAGCAGGTTGTTGATATTTAAAATTAGACACATTAAAGTAAATGCAAAGTCAGATAAATAGTATGAGACATGAACAAATTCCTGGGCTTTTACACAGATTCTGTTAATCTGAGTTGTTATTACCAGCAAAACAGTATTGATATGGACAGTTTTTACCTTCAATACTTTATTTAGATCTCATTTCTTTTGTTTGAGGCAAAGATGAAGCTTTGATGCAATGCTGAAAAGATAAAGACTTTGTTTTTCTTCATGTAAGCAAATCTAATTTATTAATACGTATGTGTTAAGCAGTGATAGCATGTAGAAGATGTTCCACCTTATTCAGGTCCAAGAAACAAACTATCCCAGGACCAATCCTTTAGGCACATATGTCCTCATTTAATTTTTTTATAAGGGCACTAAATTGGATGCCTTCTGCAGCACGTCCTTCGGGACTGCGTGTGTGCGTGCAGTCCAGAACACATGGAGAGAAAGCTGGTGTAATTTAATCTTCAGAAAGATTCTTCCCTCCTGTTGAAATAAATACATCCTCATCCTGGGCTGAGTTTACAATTTATCAATAATAATCACAGATGTCATGCTCCTTAGAGAGAGTTGAGTCATTCTCAACATTGAGTGGTTGTGCTGGTTGAAGCACTTGTGTCCAAAGCCCATTGATCTGTTGCCAGGGAAGTTTCTCATTAATTGTCTTGTTCCTCTTGTTAAGGTTTTTGTCACTGTTAACTGGTTGTTTTCCAGATAGGAGATAAACCCTTTCTCACATTTCTAAATACAGGTTGCATTTTCCCATGCAGTGTCATAGATTCAGTGTAAATAGTTTTTTTTACAGTCTTGGAAAAAATTCAGTAGGAAAGCAGAAGTTTAAAAGAAAAATTAAATTATCCTGCATGCAGTTGCTGCATTCTGGAAAAGAGAAAAACAAAACCCACAACATAATTTGAATATATTTTCACATGTGAGCAGGAAGTTCAACAGAGTTATTTCCATAGGAGTTCTGTTAAGTTCTGTGTCGAGTTTGGACTCTTTGTTTGGAAGTCATGCTATAAAATTTTCTTGTCTTGAGTTCAACAAAGTTAAGTGAGGGGAAAATAACAACAATGCTCCAGCAAGCCTCTGGGAGCATGCATTTTCATGACAGATATTAAATGAGAGTTCCACCTCCACCTACATGTTTAGTTGATCCTCTTGTGTTAGTTACAGTTGACAAGATTATTAATGTATAGATCCAACTTATTTTTTTCAGACTGAAATGGTATTTTTCTCAAGTGATGCATTTGCAGAATCGTTATCCAGTGTTATCCTGAACTTTTGGATGTGAAATTCTTGTTTAAAAAAAGTAATATCTTAGGGTGGCCCAAGTAGCCAAAAAACATAAGGTGTCCCTCTGTGCCCTTGCAGTGTTACCTGCTTCTGCAGATGGGCTGGAGCATGTATTCTCTAGTAGCTGTTCTTGCATCTGTAGGCTAGCAGTGCTGGGGTGCCATAGGGACTGGTACTATGCCCATGGTACTTGCCAGGCTGTAGAGTGCTGATGGTGTTTGTGCTTGACCCAAAGCAGCAGCAGGCAGGCTGTCTCTAGTTTTTATCAGTCTTGTGAGAACTCCTGAGAGACCACCAAGTCTTGCTGCCTGAGTTCCTGGAAAAAGCTGGGCAAGCCCTTTGCATCTGGCTCACTGGCTTTGTGTCTGGACTACTATGATTTACTGTACAGATCATCCTGATATGAAAATGAGTAAATACAGTGAAAAGATACTGTAGAAGAAAGATAACCAAATAACATACACAGTCTTGAAACTCACATTGATCTTACGTTAAAGTGCATGTAACTTAGCTTTTATAGTTTTATAGATACCCATTTACTTTGCTACAGTGTTGCTGAAAAGGGTTGTTTTTTCCTTGTGCCTTAAGTATGCGATTTTAAATACTTCTGTGCTCATTAATATATCTCTAGGTTTCCTGAATGTATAATACACGTCTTAGAATATTTACAACATGCCTGACAAGTGTTTTGCCCAAATATTTTTACTCTGCATAAATAATTTCTAAATCACTGGATAAGCTATTTGCATAAAGGCTGCATGCCCTTCCTACTGCATTTGCTGCATTTCTTGTAATTCTGTTAGTAATTCTCGACTGTTTTACACCTCATCCTTCTTACCATAGCCACCCTTGTGTCTCCTCTCTTCCCTTCTTTTATTCTCCTGCCTCCACCCCTGGTGGCCATTGCACTCCAGGGCTAGACGCGGTTGTGCAGCTCTCATGCTGGCAGTCTAACTGCATGTGTAGAGGAACTGTTTGATACTTGAAGGGACAGCAGGCAGGAAGGAGCTTTTTGCTTCTGGTACCCAAATGCTTAGTTAATGTGTGTATGCTTCTTGGCCATCTGGCTTGATCAACAGGCACTCAAATTCTTTGTAATAGTGAGAAACGTGCCTCCTGAGCAGCTAGTTAGCCAGTGAAGAAGTGTTTGTTTTGGAGGTCTGCCTCTTAGTAGGAAATTAAGCTTCTGTGCCCTAAATCCATCAGTGGCTTCTGTGGTACCTGCTGCTTGGGTGCTGCATGTTTTCTTGGCATTGACATTGTGGTTGGCTAGCAAGTGGTGTGTTTTTCTGTGCTGTTCAGCCCTTGTATCTTGATCCTGATTCTATCTGGAAACACTTCTCATGCAGCGAGGTTTATATTCAAGCAGAAAACCTCAGAGGAATTGAAATAAAGTTAGCGATTTGAAGATACACCATACCTTTAGTTTTTAACATGTATAGCCAGATTAATTGGTACAGAGGTAGCTACACAGTGTGTAGCTACAACGTGTTTGAAAAACAACCTTCTGGTTTGCTGCAAGTGCTGCTGGATTTATTTATCTGGCACACAGCTGGTTTAATTTTTTTATTCCCACCCCAAGATGGGGGGGGCGTTGCTGGGGGAAGGGGAAGGTCATTATTTAGGAGCTGAGATTACTGAATTACTGGGAAGAGTACTTGTAGTCTTGGTTGTCTTTAAAT